GGAAGGAAGGAAGGAAGGAAGGAAGGAAGGAAGGAAGGAAGGAAGGAAGGAAGGAAGGAAGGACCATAGTGGCACAGAGGTTAGAATGCAGTATTGCAGAATGACTCTGCCCACTGCCAGGAGTTCGATCCTGACCGGCTCTAGGTTGACTCAGCCTTCCATCCTTCCAAGGTGGGTAAAATGAGGACCCAGATTGTTAGGGACAAAAAGCTGACTCTATAAACCGCTTAGCGAGGGCTGAAAAGGCACTATGAAGCGGTATATAAGTCTAAGGGCTAGTGCTATCCTTCTACTTCACTTTCCCTGCCCACCTTGGGATGTTTGCAGGTGAATGGCCCCATCTGCCACCCTCAGCCCAAGGGGAAATAATTCATATTTATTGGGAGGCTTCCATAGCCTCCGCAATAAATTGTGAATTTCTTGAGCCACCAAACTCCGTGTTTTGTACGCGCGTGGGCGTGCGTTTCTCTGTAGTCGTGCAAGCATGGCAAATCCAAGGGAATAACACCGCGGAGAGAGTTCTGGTTTGTTTTATTTATTTATCTGTCCAAAAAAAAACACAACAACCCACCAACCAAGTGTGTGTTTGGGGGGGTGGGGAGAAGCAGCAATGCAGAAAGGGATGTCACTTACAATTGTCAGCCGGAGAAGCATCGTTGTCTATCCGTGTACCGAGCAGATGAGTGTCAACTCAAAACTATTGTCTGTTCCCCTCTCGGTTGAAGTCGAGATAAGGCGAGGATAAATCTCGCCGGGCCTTCTGCCCTGTGATATTATTTCATGCCACATCACCTAATAGGTGTATTTTCACACTGGTTGCCACTGCTGTGAATTTCTCCAGCTCCTTGCCGACTGACAATCTCACTATATGGAGAATGGAATAGTGACGGCTAATTGATTTTACAGCAGTACCGAAGGCTAGACAATGGAAAGTACCATCAATTTAATCCACTATTTAATGGTTCCAATTTAGCCTCTGTAAATGCTCACTAAACTAATTTCTCTGGGTTCAGCAATTTGAAAAGCTATCATATCTCTAATCTCTTCCAATATATTCATCTGGAAAAGGGGAATTTAGCCAATTCTGATGTGCGGAGATGATCTGTTAGCACAGTGTAAATGTTTATAACATGGCAATCGAGTTCGTTTATAAGGATATGAAAAGTTTTATTGGGGAACCCACCGGAGCGGAACCGTCGGATAATAGGCAGTTTACCCAGCAGTCTCCGGGAGCCGGAGAGTCGAGCAGGCATGCAGAAAAAAGACTCGGATTTATTTTAATCCCAAATTGTAAACTCAAATTCGGGCTGGCACGTAATGCACCTGGGATTTGATAGCACAAAGGATTCTCGGCTGTGTCCCTGGGGATGGAGGCGGGGGGAGGCTTTCGAAAGCCAGACTGTGATCAAATTCAGCCCTCCCCAAACGCTAACCCTTTTCTCCTTGCCATCAGCCCCGGCGTGAATTTGGATGGAGTAAGATGTTGGCTATCTTAAATCGGGCGCCCTCTAAACATGTGGCGACTACAAGACCCAGAATTCCAAGAGTGTGGAGGGCAGTGAGCTATTGCAAGGTCACCTCAGATGCAGGCGGGAAATCCTCTTAACTTCACTAGCGGTTCGGAACCGGGAGCGCGCGCACATGCGCAGACTCTCCGTAATGACGTCTGGGTGGGTGGGCGGAGCCTCCTGCCGCCACCACAACCGGTTCGCCCGAACCGGTGTGAACCGGTAGAATACCGCCTCTGCTCAGATGGCCTTGTGTGTTGACTAGGATGTCTTCCATCTTCTTTTTCCCAGGATAGTCAAGAATCCGCTCTNACCAGTTAAACAGGGCATGCATAGGCTTTGGGAGGCTTGTAGAGTGCTTCTGGGGGCAAAAATGAGCAAAAAACGACCAGTTAAACAGGGCATGCGTAGCCTTTGGGAGGCTTGTAGAGTGCTCCTGGGGACAAAAAACGACCCCTTTTCCCCCCCAAAAAACAGGGCATGCATAGGCTTTGGGAGGCTTGTAGAGTGCTCCTGGGGGCAAAAACGAGCAAAAAACAACCAGTTAAACAGGGCATGTATAGGCTTCGGGAGGCTTGTAGAGTGCTCCTGGGGGCTGGGGGCAAAAAGGAGCAAAGAAACTGCCCGTTTTACCCTCGTTTTTGCCCTCCCCAGCCCCCAGGAGTATTTTGCAGGCCTCCCAAACGCTCTGAATGTACATTTTGGTGAAGGGACGGGGTTTCAGGAGGCCAAAAATGCTGAATTCAGACACACCCAGATTTTCATTCTCTTTTTTGGGGGGGGGATGTGCATCTTATACTCTGAAAAATACGGTACGTCCTGCCTAAGATCCCTTACATTCTGTGTTCGTGACCAACGTGATTTACCCCTTTGCCTAGTCACAACAGGATCCACCTTATCTGGTCTTTTACAATTTGTCCTGCGCATGAGCTTACGTCCTTGAATATTCAGACCACGCTGACACTGATAGGGACTAGCTCTTTATCATTTGTGGTTTTTATTTGGCCTTGGGGCTGAGGCTTGCAAGTAAGAGGCATTGCCTTAAAAAGTATTTCACGATTCTCTGGGTGTATTTTGTAAAAGAGTTAACTTTCCATCCATTCTCACAAGGAAGGGTGTGTTTGTGTGTGTGTTTGTGAGAGAGAGGGGGGGCGGGGGAGAGGATGAGATTTAAGGAAGAAATATCAGCTACTGAGATACAAGTAGAACAAGAAGCAATGGATGGAATCAAGGAGAAAAACAACTAGAGCTAAGGAGAAATGTCCTGTCAATAAGAAGGGAGAAGAGGGAAAGAATGTTTGTTTTGTGTGTGTGTGTGTGTGTGTATGTGTGTGTGTGTGTGAGAGAGAGAGAGAGAGACAGAGAGAGAGAGACAGAGAGAGAGAGAC